TGCCATAATTGAACTCTTTTTAGTGGAACATAATGTTAATTATGTATGTAATTCTTTTTTAAACAAATAATACTCTATCGCTTGCAGATCAATGTATAAGAGATAAGCAGTAGTCCAATGTCTTTAAAATATTTCGTATTTTGGACAATTCGGGACACAACGCTCGACTTTGACACCAGAGGGAGACTTTGTACAGAAGTCGATTGCTTTGGTACCTCTGTCCCATTCGTGTTTCAACCGTGAAGCAGTTGTGTTTGCATGGCTGTGTTTCGGTTTGAAGAGTGGGATATGGCATGAATTTACTGGGTACAGAGGAATAACACCCGAGTCCTCAGGAATGGCAACGCATGGGGCGTATCATGGGCGAAACAGTATACTCTGTTATGTCCATGGTACTGCTCGTGTCTATAGGCGACGGTTACCACTTTCCATCAGGTGGGCCGTCAGCTTGTTTGCCATTCTAAGTTGTATACAAAAAAAAATCGACTGTAACATAGAATATGATATTACTATGAAAATGCACTCTCTATTGCCATGTATTAAATTTAATTCAAACCAAACAGCGGCGCAGTGGATTTTAACTGTAAAATTGTTTTAACTGCAACTGAATAATGTATTTTAATAACGAACGAACTACATAAATTTGATATGATTATGGCGATCGTAAAGTTCACTTCAACATATTTTACAAGTAAATTTTTCCACCAAATTACAGATTTATGTTTGTTTATTGCCCGACTGTGCAAAGAAAGTGGGTATTGGTTTTTTTCTGTATATAATAATTGAATGATAACCCCGTCTGAGCTAGCGGTATACGATAGTGGGATGGAGTAGTGAGGAATGAGATGAGGATATAAACAGATCAGTTGGCTCAAGGAGACGAACTAATCGAGAATTACCCTCCATGGTTTCCAGAGGAGGTCATCTGGAGGTCGACCTGACAGCTCTAGTAATATAATAAGGCCACTAGTCCTTAATAATCCTTCCCCAACCAAGGATGTTTTTATTATTTAGATTGTTCTTTCAGGTAAAAAAAGAATTTTCTAAATCGGTTTAGTACTGATGAAGTTATGTGGTAACAAACGTAAAAAAACACAACAGAATTAAAAACCTCCTTTCTTTTTGAAGTCGGTTGAAAATTATATTAAAAGAAATACGATTCACGATTATTAATAACATTTATCTACTTTTTTTTACAACACGGGGCAAACGAACTTGCGGCTCACCTGATGGTAAGTGACTACCGCCGCCCATGATCACCCACAACACCAAAGGCATTGCAGGTGTGCTGCCGGCCTTTTAAAAGACAATGTGCTCTTTCCTTGAAGGTTATGATGTCGTATCGGTTCGGAAATACTGCTGCTGGAAGTTGATTCCAAAGAATGGTTGTGCGTGGAAGAAAGTGCCTTGAAAAACGCACGGTGGAAGACCGCCACTCGTCCAGATGGTTGGAATGAAACTTTAGTTTGTGGCAGGTTGTACGGTGATGAAAATCAGCAGCAGGTATCAATTCGAACAATTCCTCAGAACACTCCCTATGCGTACTCCCCCGTCCAATTCGGTAGAAGATGCACAGAGATGCAACATCTCTGCGCAGTTTCAATGGGTCAAGTCGGACAGAAAGACGTTGACTATCAATAATTCGAGCCGCCCGACTTTGAATGCGGTCTAACAGAAGGAGTTGGTACTGTGTGGCGCTCCTGCCCATAGGTGAGAACATTATTCCATATGCGGCCTGACTTGAGCTTGTTTGCCAACATACATAAAATAGTATAAAAAAAAAAATTTGCTCATCTTCCATTTAAACCAAGTTCCACTGAGTGTAAGCATTAAACGGCGGGATCTTGGGCTAAGTAGAAATAAATAATGAAAACGAAAACCCTCGCTGCCAAATGACATATGAAGAGATCACGTAAAAAACGTATCCGTAAATACCTCTCCCCCTGTTTACAACATAGGAACACCCTAAGTTATGCAAATTCTATTACACCCGGAGGAAACAATATCCATTGCTCAATAGTTGGTGATTGTATGATTTCCTACTTCGAACACTATTTATGAGGGGTTTTATGTACTCGTAAAGATTTTTTTTATGCAAATTAGAATGGCAATAAAGCTGACGGCCCACCCGATGGAAAGCGGTAACCGTCGCCTATAGACATGAGCAGTACCATGGACATAATAGAGTATACTGTTTTGCCCATGATACCTCCTGTGCGTTACCATTCTTGAGGATTCTAGTGTTATTCCTCTAAAAAATATATATAAAAAAATACATAACAGATTTTTAACGTATTCGAAAATACTCGTAAATATCCAGCGGATATGGGCGATATCGTAATGAGCGATGATCTTTTTTCCACCATCGATGTGCAAAAAACCTAATACATAGATATCAGATCGATACCCATATTTTCCTACCAGTAACATTTATTTATACGCCAACTTTCTGCAAAAAAATTTAATTTGCGAACTCATCAGATGATATGAGATTCCCATATACAGTCAGCGCCATATTGGACGAAAACATATTGAATTCATTAAGAGAGCCGTTTTAATTTCAACAGGCATCGTCCGGGGACGACTTTTCTGTCGGATTATCTCGCAAATGGAGAGCTCTGCCACGAAAGAATAAAAAAAATATTGTGTTCTGCAGATTAAATTAATGTGTCCTCGCCTTTCCCCCGAAAGGGTGGTGTACACTTTGATTATAGGACGTCCTGGTGGACGTTTCGAATTGAGCACACCCTTGTTTTTTACGGAACGCAAAAATTAGTTAAATGTGAGTTCCCTTTATCACAAAGTTTATTGGATACTAATTGCATACTTTTAATGAAAAAATTTAGGGCCTCCCAGAATAAAGAGTTGCGTGGCAATATAGGACGAAATTCTTTAAATTTATGTTTTTTTTTTCTGTTTCTTTTTTTTTGTTTTTAATTAAAATAATAATTTATATGGGGGAAAGGGATTGTTAGTAATGGAGACTGAGAATCCCATTGCTAGCAATATACCCAACCAGGTCGACCTCCTCGCGGTTCTCCCTGGAAACTATCATGGTTAATTCCTGATGAATTCATCATGATGGGCTAACTGGTCTGTTTTCATTCTCATCTATCACCCTTCACTGGTGCACCGCGAGCGTATCCCGTTAGCGCAGGCGGGGTTACCATACCATTTTCACCTATCAAAAAAAAATTATCTGCTCGCGAAACTTTTTTTACAACTTCAACAAACATCTCTGTTTACCCCATAGTATTCTAGTAGAAAACTCCTTTAAATATTATGTCCGCCATGTGTACCTTCGTTAAATAAACAAATAAACAACTTTGTAAAATTGGGTAAAAAGAAGGAAATCGTGTCTATTTGGAGAAAAAACATTTAATACTTGGGTAAAAATAAAAATAGCTTCTGGCAATTCTGGGTAGAACACTTACTTTTTCAATGTTATTAAAGTTTCTGCTATTTAAGTTTGTACCAGATAACTATTACAATTTCATCTCGTTAGGACTCCTACGTAGTCGTCCTCCTTGCAACTTAGAGGTCATCGCTCCATCCAGTAAGGAGGTCGACCAAAAGTATATTAACTTGTAGATAGACAGATAGATATATAATTTATTTGCATTACTTACAACACACAAATAACAACAGACTTACACTGTAAAAAGAGATAAAAGAATGCATATACCAAAATAGAGAGTATAGAGTACAAAGTAGCTACTCAAAAACCTTATGGTTTATAAAAGACAAAAATTAACGCGATAGTTAAAGTTGTTGTATAAATCGTAAACCATTAACCGTCCACTGTTAAACATAGCCTCCTCCCAAAGGGGAGTTTGCCAGTAGTTGTCACGCTTGGTAAGCTGGTTAGCAACAGCAATTAGGTTTTTGGTAATGTTTTAAGAGAGGCGCTGCTGCTCGTCCCTCGAGCATTAAGTTCCCTTAGTCGCCTCTTACGACTTAGGGAAGGAGTGATATATATATATATATATATATATATATATATATATATATATATATATATATATATATATATATATATATATATATATAGTAAAATTATAACAACTTGCTTACTATCAAATTGAGTAGATATATATTTTTAGCGTTTTTTTTAATCTATAAAACAAAAAAAAAAGTTGTAAACAATAAATTCTTCGTTGGAAAACAACATCAATTGTTCTATTATAAAAAAAAATACAATAGTTTATTTTATTTGCCATTCCATATTCGAATATTGGAGTTTATTTTTTAAACGGCTTCTGAAAGAGGGATCTCGATGTTCATATTTGTATTTTTTTTTTGCAAACAAATCGACGGCTCACTTGATGGAAAATAGTAACCGTTACCTATAGACATAATAATTATTTTTTATCAATAAATTTCATTCATTCATTCATTCATTAAAGATTGTGTCCCACAAAATAAATCAGATTTCAATTGTGACAAAACCAGATATTTTGACCTAAAAACTAAACTATTGAACTAATTTTGATAATATTTCTATATAAAAAATGTATAAGTAATATATATATATATATATATATATATATATATATATATATATATATATATATATATATATATATATATATATATATATATATATATATATATATATATAAGCGTGTATATTATATATACAACCGAATTGAGAATCAATGAAGAAGTAATGTATATGTATGAAGAAAATGAAAGAAAAGAATATACTTACAGATTGGTCATAGGAAATTATATTAAAAACAGTAAAGTAGTTTAGTTTAGTTTTTAAATCAGAATAATTAATTTTTCTACACTTAAAGTCGACTTTTTTTTGTGGAACTCAATCTTAGTTACAAATCTGATTATTAAAAATTAATATTACATGCTATGTACTTCTAAGAAACATAATTACATACTCACATACATTATGTTAAAAACAATACACTCTTTTTTTTTTTTTTTTTTTTTAATTAGGTATATAATAGTTCCAACCAGAGAGGCATGAAAAAAAAAAAACAATATAAAATTTCTTTGGTGTTTATTCCTCACTATTTATAATTTAATAAGTAATATAAATGTAATAAGTAATATAATAATAATAGTAATATAAATGTAATGCGAATAGACGAATGAAAAAAAAGTTACAATAATCGTGGGAAAATTAATGTACTCGTATGTCCAATATAGACCCCGTCTATTGTAAAAAGAATTATGTAAATCGGATTATGATTACTAAAGATACCGCATAACATAAACACTTAAAAGTGCAGGCGAATTGAAAAATTTTATTAACATAGTAGATTTCTCATAATCAAATAAAAATAACTATATTTAGTAATAAACAAATAGTGTATTTATACAATACTAGCCTTCGCCCGCTACTTTGTATGTATGGATTTTAGAAATAGGAAAATCAATAACAACGAATACTTGTAGATGGCGTATCAAGTTAAAATCACCATTTTATAATTTAGACCTTCAGAAATAAAGCATACAGATCGACAGACATGATTACTAAAAAAATAATATTAATTTGACTTCTATTGCTTTTATTATAAGACAACTTATAGAAATTTTCTTTAAATATCTTCCATGTACAAATATTATCTAGTTACAATTTCATTCTATTAGTAAAATAAATATTTTATAATATTTATTTCTAAATACCAACTAATGTATACAGGACACTTGATATCAAAACCTTTAACAAAAATTTAAAAGAGTATTCTATAAGTAAAACGAAATATTTCCTCTAACGTATGTCTCCGATACTAACACTGTTCAGATAGTTACGCTGTATTTTTAATAGGCGAAAATGAATGGTAACCCCACCTGTGTTATTGGTATACGCTAGCAGAACGCCAGTGCGAAATGATAAATAAGAATAAAAGTAGGTAATTTAGCCCATCGTGATGAATTTTACAAGAATCAACCATGATGGTTTCCAGGGGGAACTGTGTTTGGAGATTGACCTAATAGCGTCCCTATAGGGAGGTTGACCTCACTAGCAATGAGGCTGTTAAACCCCATTATCAGCAATCCCTTTCCCCCGAAATAAGCTGTGTTAGTCACTCCCTTAAAAGAATGTCAACTATATCGATATCACCCTGTATAAATACATCCAAAGATGTTACCCAAAAATCAGGTACAATACGAATGCCATATAAAAAATTTTCACAAAAAAACATCTCATAACTTAATGTTAACTCTCTCATGGCAAAGGAATTGTCATTTAGAATTGTCCTATTAAAAATATATAAGAATAGGAATACAAGATAGACATTTCTCACCGAAGATATGTTTTAAATTGTAACTATTGGAATTACACTATCATCCTGTCCACGGGATTCCCATCCTGTATTTAGAAAACGATGCAATGCCAAATTTAGTCCAAAACTTCAATTTTAGTATAATTGCTGACAATGCCAAAAGTTTTTATAACCTTAAGACCTTTCTCAATGACATGGATACATTTTTGCAATGCAACAATAGTATTTTTAATATAAAATATACAGACTTAAGGATATGGGGCACTGGAGAAAGATGGAGAAAATTTGTTGGAAGGATTCAAGTCAGTAATGAAGAAGTCCTACTTGAATTTAAGGAAAAGATAGAAATTATAAAAGCTATTTAAATCAGATGGATGAAAATATTGGGACACTTAATATGATATGACGAATTTATGAACATCATATTATAGAAAGAAAGAGACGGGAGATCAACGTGTCATATTAAAAGGCGAAGAGACTCGCTGAAATTCACAGTGAGCGGCAACAACTCCACCGACAAGAGCTTGTCTCTTAAAGAAAGAAAGAATAAATTAAAGAAATAACCTGTACCTAATCCTTAACGCAAAAGACAAGCCGTTAGAAATCACAAAAGAAAGAGTTTAACATTTTTAATTATAATTAATGTCTTAACTATTATTTTTAATCGTTTTACATTGGGCATTATTCATAATTAGTCTACCTAATTTAAACAAACGCTACTTTTTCACCACAAAATTGTCGTCAGCATTTATCTTTTTCAAAGTGGACCAATATATTTCATTCTCCGCTTTCAGTCCGTCTTTTCCTTGATAATAGGGAAACTCGTTGCTTGTAGACAAATAGTATATACCAGGTTTCTTAAAGTCGGTCTTAATACCGACATAATTGGTCACTGTATTGTTATAACAATTGGCCAGCCTCGCATCTTGGATGGAATCGCATTTGACTGCAATGAACTTTTTAGGATTTTCCACAGCTTGCCACCAATATAAAGTAACTTTCATATGACTACAGACTACCAGGCAAGGGATGTACGGTATATCACCGGGTTGGTATTCCCCACCGTTAATATAAACATCTACATGACCAAGGGCTTCTGCTATTCCAAACCCATCAATATTTGTGTGTATTGCATCGACCCTCTCTGCATCTGAAGAGCTCAACCTGTACGTCGCTGGCAAACCCCTAAAACAAGGCCCAGATGGGTCCAATCCGGTAAGCCTGGAAGGTTTTCTGCCTGTTTCAGCGTAGTAGTATTTAGCAGCATAACTGGCCATGTGACTGCCAAGACTGAATCCCACTAGTTCCAAGTCATCAGGCTTCAGACCCTGTTGAGTTAGTTGTACGATAAATTCCCCTAGTTTTTTCCCAATTGCACGACTTATGCGGACTGATCTGTAAGAGAGAGACAAATAATCGTCGTTTAGATTTTCCTTCGCATTAAACAATTCTTCGTCATCAATTGTACCAACACAAAAGAAAACTTTATTTATTGTGAAAAGATTTATCAAAATCAGTTCAAAATTTTCAAAACTGTAAGCTGTGAATCTTGTGTGGTCATATTTATTATAAATTAGTTTTATGCCCGCTACTTCGTACTCATAGATTTCGAGAGTAAGAAAACCAACCAATTGACCACTTCTAGCGCATCAAGGTAAATCATACATCAGATATTAAGTTAGACTTACAACTGTGAGATCCATTTCTAATTTGGTGCAGTTGTTTTTGCGTAACATCGGACCAGACAGAGAAAATTATAAAAATTATTATCCTGGAATCTTTTTTTTTTATTATACGACTTAGAATGGCAAACAAGCTGACGGCTCACCTGATGAAAAGTGGTTTATAAGACCTCTCATATATTTTTTTTAATATCTCCCATAGTCCATTGTCGTAAATAGTGATTAAGGGAATTTAATAGTTAAGGAATAGTTCCCAGTAATTGCCACGCTTGGCAGGTAGGTTTGCAACCGCATTTAGGCTTTAGATGATGTTTTAAATAGGACACTGCTGCCCATCCTTCGACCATTAAGTTCCCTTAATCGCCTTTTACACCTACAGGAAAGGAAGGGGTGGCCTGTTCTATGCCGGGACCACACGATTATTTATTATATATAACAAGACAATTATTAATAAATATTGAAATGGCCTGTCACAATAAATACTAAGATTTTTCCTATAATGTGTAAAGTACATAACAATTTACAATAAATGCTAATAAACAAATACATAAAACTCATTTCCTTATATACTTGTATGGTGGAAAATTAACCATTATAAGTCACTGTGAAATGAAGTGCAATATGGTTTATGATGGGGAGTAATAAACATTATTACCTGTCTTGTTTCCTCCAAAAGATTGCAATAGTAAAGTTATTACAGAGATATAAACAATTACAAATAAAATTTCGAAATAAAAGGTCATTCCATTTTTAAATTACAGGACAGATATGAGTTTACATAGTAATTTATTTGGCCGCAAAACACGACAGATATGGTTTTTCATACAACCGCTGCCCGCATGTATCTGGCCAGTACGGCAATTTTGATTTATCTCAAAGAAGATTGTCAAAATAATGCTCACATTTCCAAGCATGTTTGAGAAAATGATGTAATCACAATGAGAAATCAATGGGCGGCCATCTAATCAAAGGTCAAAATCCAATCCATCCAAAAGATGCCTGGAAGAGATCACTTTTTGCGATAAAAAAAGCGATCTCTTCCAGGCAACATTTGGATGGAGAGGTGTAGTTATAAACAGTTTGATCAAAATCATGAAAATGTAAATTCCTATTACTGTGAAATCAAAATAATTCTTCTTCGTCATCCTTTTAATAAATTAATGAATATTTATTGCCAACATTCTATTATCCTACCGCTCGCCATCGACAGGGAGTTCATTCTCATGTCCTACAGCCTCAATGATCGCGTACTGCGCGGTTTCAATAATGTTTCCTCCCACGAACACTCAGTTTGTGGAATGAGCTCCCTGCCGAGGTTTTCTCAAGAGATTACAGCATGGAGTTCTTCAAAAGGGGGGTAAAGAGGTTTCTTCAGGGCCGACAACGCGCGCGTTAATCCTCTGGTATTGCAGGTATTCATAGGCTACGGTAACCACTTACCATCAGGTGGGCTTAATGCTTGTTTGCCACCTCAATGATATAAAAAAAAACATGGCCTATAGAAGGAGACCACGTACGATTAGTGATCAATACCGATGCCAAAAATGCAATCAGTAAAATTTTTGTCAGTCTGTCTGTATGTTCGTTATAGAATCAAAAACTACTCGACGGAGTTTAAACGAAACTTGGTACAATTATTCTTCATACTCCTGGGCAGGTTATAGTATACTTGTCATCACGTTACGATCAATAGGAGCAGAGCAGTGAAGGGAAATGTGTCTGTTACATCAAAACCACTGAACCGTGAGAAAGGACATAGGCTATTTATTTTACGAAAAACGACGGAAACGCGGATGAAGTCGCAGGCAATAGCTAGTAATGTAATATAATGGTATAATTATAACCCCGATCGATACATCTGATGGTAAGCCTACTTGCGTTAACGGTATACGCTGGCGTGGCACCAGTGAGATGGTAAATCAGAATGAAAGGGTAGGTCAGTTAGCCCATTGTGATGAGTATTGGTTTCCAAGGAGGTCCATGTGGAGGTCGGCCTAACAGGGTATATTGCTGGCAAAGGGTTTGGTAGTGCGCATTACTACACTACTTTATTCCAAATCGGTTTATAAATTACAGAATTCTGATGTGACAAACATAATGACAAACAAACTGACGGCCCACCTGATGGAAAGTGGTAACCGTCGCCTATAGACATGAGCAGTACTATGGACATAACAGAGTATACTGTTTCGCCCATGTCACCCCCTATGCGTTGCCATTCCTGAAAACTCAAGTGTTATTTCTCTATACCCAGTAAATTCACGCCATTACCCACCCTTCAAACCGAAACACAGCCATGCAAAAACAACTGCTTTACAGTTGAAACACGAATAAGACAGAGGTAGCCAAGCAATCGACTTTTGTACAAAGTCTCCCTCTTCTTTTTTGAAGCCGGTTAATAAAAAGTATAATAATGAATCTCTCACCTCGGATAGACAAACGGAAGCACTGATATCGATTCAGTAACGAACACGTTGTAGCCACGTTTCGCGTAAGCGGACGCGACTGCTATATTGTGAATGAAAGTAGAACTATCCAAATATCCAACGACGTAGAGTACCGTCTTCTTATTTTTAAAATCTAGAAATTAAATATTTTATTGTTAGTAGTTATAGAGTCTGTCTTTATTAGTGCATGCAGTTATTGTTCTAGTTTCAGCCATAAATAACCGCTGATGAACACAGCCTGCCCCATGAAGAGGGTTTTGCCAGCAGTTGCCACGTTTGACAGGCAGTTTGCAAACACAGTTTTTTTTTATTAGATGAAAATGGAATGGTAACCCCGCCTGCGCTAACGGGATACGCTGACGGGGCACCAGTGAAGGGTGATCGATGAGGATGAAAACAGGCCAGTTAGCCTATCATGATGAATTCATCAGGAATTAATCTGCAACCACAGTTAGGCGGGGGGAAAGGGATTGTTAGCAATGTAGTTTGACAGCCCCATTGCTAGCAATATGCCCTATTAGGTCGAGCTGCACGTGGTTCCCCCTGGAAACCATCGTGAACAATTCTTGTTGAGATCGTCACGATGGGCTAACTGACCAGCTTCATCCTCACCTATCATCCTTCACTGGTGCCCCGTTAGTGTATACCGTTAGCGCGGGTGGGGTACCATCACCCGTTAAAAACACTACAGGCTATGGTGATATTTTTATTTATTTATTCATTAATACATAGTGTACATGGCGGACTTAATGCTAAAAGCATTCTCTCCCAGTCAACCATAAGGAAGTGTCAGAATACTCGATATTCGGACATCTCTCCACCATAAGTGTGTTTAATATGTGTGTTTATCCCTATATGTGTATATATTCGTGTATATACCAGAGGGAGACTTTGTACAAAAGTCGTTTGCTTGGCCACTTCTGTCTCAATCGTGTTTCTATCGTGAAGCAGTTGTGTTTGCATGGCTGTCCTTCGGTTTGAAAGGTGTGATGTGGCAGTGAATTTACAGGGTACAGAGGAATAACACCTGAGTCTTCAGGAATGGCAACGCATCGAGAGTATCATGGGCAAAACGGTATACTTTGTTATGGCCATGGTACTGTTCATGTGCATAGTCGACGGTTACTGCTTTCCATCGGGTGAGCCGTCAGTTTGGTTGCCATTCTAAATTAATGAAAAGAAAAAGTAAATGAAATTTTTAAGCGATAAAATTTTTGGAGGAAATTGGAATAAACGTGGAGAAATTTTGGTTATTTTTAAATCTGTTAAATTTGATCTGTTAAATTTTATTAACACAATATTTTTTACGAAATATACTCCAATATGGTAACACTGGCCATCAACAAAATCATTAGGAGCCTTACCTACTTTGTAAGATAGAACACTTTTCGCGGCTGAGGTGATTGGCATTGAATTTCTAATCACACCATTAGGAGTCCACCGGTGCCAGATGATTTGAAGTTCCTGCAGCATTTTAGGACTGATGCTGGCATTCTTGAAGGACCCTGGACCTGGAAGATGGTGTATGTCTATATATTCACGTTAAACATTCAGGCTATTTCTGTGCTCAATTATCTGATTCTTTGAGCAGCCAGCTATATCTATATCTATAGATATATTTAATGACTAATTATATATATTTTTAAGTGTTATTTAAAAATTTTAAGTTTGTAAAATAAACCTTCTTTTTTTATACAACTTAGAATGGCAAACAAGCTGACGGCCCACCTGATAGAAAGTGGTAACCGTCCCCTATAGACATGAGCAGTACCATGGACGTAACTGAGTATACTGTTTCGCCCATGATACCTACTATACGTTGCCATTCCTGAGGACTCAGGTGTTATTCCTCTGTACCTAGTAAATTCACGCCATCAACCTATGGCTCACTACACGTTTTGGGATACTGTAAGTGTGGTAAGCAATTTATAAATAAATAAACATCCCACTAACACAGAGCTCCCCCTATGAGAGGTTTTGCCAGAAATTGCCATACTTGACAGATGGGTTGACAACCGCAGTTAGGTTTTGGTGATGTTTTAAGAAGGACGCTGCTGCCTATCCCTCGACCAATAAGTAGTCGCCTCTTACGACACCCATGGGAAAGTTAGGGGTAGCCCATTCTATGTCGGGACCACATGGCAAATTATTATATTACAACCGACAAAATATTAATCACTAGCCCTAGGAGAGTTTTCCCAGTAATTACCATACTTGACAGACTGGTTGGTAACCACAGTTACAGGCTTTGCATATATTTTAAGAGGGACGCTGCTGCCCATCCCTCGCCCTCCCTTAGTCGCCTCTTACGACACCTACAGAACACAAAAGGGTGGCCTATTCTATGCCGGGACCACACGGCAAGCTGCCAACACTTACTATTATAACAATATATGTTTTATTATCTTTTACCATCGTTTAAAATACGGAAATGTTGAAATTACCATTTAACTATATTATTCAAGGGTAACAATATTTTATTCGAAGTATTTTGTAAAAAAAAAAAAATATTGTTTCTTATACTCTTTTACTGCATAGAAATATATAATATAATGAGAAGGTAAAATATGTTACAAAAATGTATACAGAATTTTAAATTAAAAAAAAAAATCGTTAAATGTTTAACATATAAGGACGAACAATACTTTTGTGTGCATTGAAAATTATAAAAAAATTAAAATATTAATGTAAAAATGACCTCGCAGAGTCTAGCCTTAACACACTGCCTCACTTTAGCTGATAATCACGAATTATAATGAATCAATATTTGAACTACTAAAGAATATTAGGTTTTTAAATGGAGAAAGGCTACTTTTAATCTTGGTTAATCTATAAAACCTAATCACGTCGACGAAATAATTAATAAAAACTTTTTTTTTTTTTTGTTAATAATAAAAATTTATTTTCTCTTCACAATTCGTTACAGTGCAATACAATGAGACATGCTTATACTAATCAAATTATAAATATAATCTTGGGAGACTGGTGCCTGAGATAGGTATAGGAATACCTGTATTACAGGTCATCAGGGCCTCACTCCGCAGCGTTACTTACTAAGTACTTGTAATATAATAAGTGAATTAAATGTTATAAAACCCAATCACGTCGACGAATTAATTAATAAAAAACTATTATCCTATTATAATATTAGTAGGTAATATAATAAAACTAGGTGTACTCCGTGGCTTTTCCCGAGTGAATAACTACGTAAACTATCATCTGTGATAACTTAGGATATATTCTAATTGTGTACCAAATTGCATTCAAATCCATTTAGTAGCTTTTATATAAAAAAATACAAATATCTACCCACATATCTATAAAGTTTACCAGTGTACAAAAGTCGCTTGTCTGGGCACCTCTGTCCCATTCGCGTCTCTATCGTGAAGCAGTTGTGTGTACATAGCTGTGATGGCAATGAATTTATCATACAAAGGAATAACACCCGAGTCCTCATGAATGGCAAGGCATGGCGGTATCATAGGTGAAATAGTACACTCTGTTATGTCCATGGTACTGCTCATTTCTATAGGCGACAATTACCACTTTCCATCAGGTGGGCCGACAGCTTGTTTGCTATTCTAAGTTGCATAAAAAAACTTTTAAATTATTATATTAATAGGATTATAGCTAGATAATAACTGTATGTAGGAGATAATTAAAGAAACTTGATATGAGGGACTTTAAAATACCAATAGAACTAAACAATTGTTAGGAATTTTGTCTATCTATCTGTAAATTTGTTACAACATCGCACAAAAATTACTTTACCAAATTGTATGTGATTTTCACAGTTATATTCTTTAAGGTTTAACTTGAAAACTACTGTATTATTATTATATTAGCTGTTAACTATCCATTGTCGAACATAGGCCGCCCTCAGAAAAAAGGTTTTTGTCAGAATTTGCCAACATAGGCCTTTGCCTATTGGAGAGTTTTGCCAGTAGTTGTCGTGCTTGGTAGATGGATTGGTAACCGCAGTTAGACTTCGGTAATGTTTAGACTTCATCCTTGGACCACAAAGTTCTCTTAATCGCCGATACCCTAAGGAATGGAAGAAGTGGTTCTGTCTGTTCTGTCTGTCTGTATGACAGGACCACACGGCAATAACTAGTGTGTTTTATTTGAATATGCTTGTAGAATAGGTCTATATCATTGATTTTCTTATTTCTTAAACCCTTTTAGTGTCATTGATTTTTTACTCATATCTACTTAAAAATGCTAAAGAAATCTTTGTCGTGTTGATGTCATTTACCCTTGTCTCTAAAAAGAACTGTATCTCCTCCAGAAATTATCCAAATTTAATTTTTTTTTACAGCAAGCTAAACAGCGACTGATTTCACTAGCGCTATGACGCTCGTGGCACTTTTAGTTGCAATGCGCACGAGCGTGATGGCGCTCGTCCGCACTCAAAGGGTTAAGAATTCAGTGTAAACTATTGGGCACTTTTTGATAATAGATAAAAGACTTACATTCAGACAGGTATCCTAAGGCATACCCGGTGTCAGGTCGAGGTGAGAAGTGACCAGCGTGAGTTCTGGTAACCAATGTTACCAATAACACAATCCATGACAGCAGACCTCTGAAATTTTATATAAATCACTTAATGGTTACTCGAATGATTTCAGAGGTAAGGGGAAAGGATTCATGGGAATGAAATAGCTGACCAATTAGCAAAGGAAGGAGCAAAGAGTGCCCAAATAGGACCAGTACCTTGTTGTGGCATACCTCAGGCAGAGTAACCATTCCATTTGGGGGGAAAGGATTGTTAGTAATGCGGACTTCTAGTACCATTACTAGCAGTATACCCTGTCAGGTCTACTTCCACGTGGTCCCTGTGGAAACCATCGTGCTGAATCCCTGGTCTTTTCATCACAATGGGCTGACGGACCTGCGTTTTCATTCTCATATATCATCCCTCACTTAGATTAAAACAAAATATTTCATTTTCATTGTATAAAAAAAATTGTTTTTTTTTTTTATACAACTTTGAATGGCAAACAAGCTGACGGCCCACTTGATGGAAAGTGGTAACCGTCGCCTATAGACATGAGCAGTACCATGGACATAACAGAGTATACTGTTTCGCCATGATACCCCCCATGCGTTGCCATTCCTGAGGACTCAGGTGTTATTCCTCCGTACCCAGTAAATTCACGCCATATCCCACCCTTCAAACCGAAACACAGCCATGCAAACACAACTGCTTCACGGTAGAAACACGAATGGAACAGATGTGGCCGAGCAAACGACTTTTGTACAAAGTCTCCCTCTGGTGACGTTTACTGAGTCATCCATATATGTACAAATATGCAATGTTCATAAATAATTGATTGTTATTTTTCATTGATCTATTACAAATAATGACTATTTGTTAATTAATGTCAATCACGATTGTCCAATAAAATCAAATTGTTATTGAATACATTAATATCAAGTGCGCCAACAGTGGAATTATGTGTTAATTTTCAAAAATAATTGAAAAATTTTCATTACTTCCAATTGATTATTGAAAATGTACTCTGATAGACAATTCAAATGTTAATTAACTGTTTGTGTTGTGATTTCTTGATTGAACTTAGTTATATTCATAATTTCAGCCTTTAACTATCCACTGCTGAGGATAAGCCTCCCCTTTGGAGGTTTTGCCAGTAGTTGCCACGTTTGGCAGGCGGATTTGCAAACGCAGTTAGACTTTAGAGATGTTTTAAGAGGGCCGCTACTGCCCACCCCTCACTCTCCCTTAGTCGGCTCTTACGACACCCACAGAATTGGAAGGGGTGGCCTATTCTATGCTGGGACCACACGGCCATTGTTTGCCATTCTAAGTTGTATAAAAAAATGAAAGTATTTAATGTGTATAGGTATACATTATTAGTTGTTATTTTTTACCTATCCCGATAATGTAGTACCGCGTTCGTGATTCACTGTTCATCCCAAAGATTGACTGGTAGAGAATGCTACTATTTTATTTTTTTATTTTTATTTTTATACGACTTAGAATGGCAAACAAGCTGACAGCCCACCTAGCATTTAATCCGCCTTTTGTACAATATTTTCTTTTTGTCAATAAAGTTATTTAAAATAAATAAATAAATAAATAAAAGAGTAACTTAAAATCTGGTGTATTCTTTATATATGTCATCTAGAAATATTTAGGTGACGTATCAAGTTAAAAATATACATGAAATATTAAATTAGACTTTCTATCAAAACCTCATCTAAATCAGTGCAGTAGGTTTCGTGTGATGCCAAAATAAACTAATAGAAAGACAGATGGATAGATAAAATTTCTAAAAATTGTTACTTTAGCAGCTATTGCTCTTACTGAGACTCCTTATATATTTTTTTCTTAAATATCTCCTATGTATATAAATCATCCAGTTACAAATTTACAAAATTAATAATAAAAACTACCCACCAATGTACGGCTTTTTTTTTAATGGGTGAAAATGGTCTGGTAACCCCGCCTACGCTAACGGGATACGCTGGCGGAGCACCAGTGAAGGGTGATAGATGAGAATGAAAACAGGCCAGTTAGCCCATCATGATGAATTCATCAGGAATTAACCATGATAGTTTCCAGGGAGAACCGCGAGGAGGTCGACCTGGTTGGGTATATTGCTAGCAATGGGATTCTCAGTCTCCATTACTAACAATCCCTTTCCCCCCCGATGTACGAAATTAGGATACTATTAGCAACATCAAGTGTAAATTAAAACGATACTTCTTGCATGGTTTTAATACAATTTAAATAATTAATGTATTTAGTATTAAAATAAATCTACGTGGTTTCTAATACAATTTTCCCATTTTCGATAGTTTTTTTTTTAGATATTGTTGGCGACAGACCTCCTTTCATACAAGTTTACCTTTTTTAGATTTATATTTTTATATTATGAATATGTCTTTGATACTTATTTTGTTTTTCTACTTGATTGACATATTGTTGTTATATTACCAATCAAGATTAGGTTTTTAAACCTTCTTGATTGATTGAGAACAGACCTGCTGTATAAAGGTGCCTTTCAGATATATTCCCAGAACACTGATGAAATACGTAGATTTGGAATGAAATTTACAAATGGAAAAATAATATATAATTATAAATATAATACACTTACCCGAGATCCATCTGTACTTAAAAATATCCGACGGCAAGTATTTCACCGATATTAAAATTTATATGTATATTATTTTCATTACCTTTGAATTTTTAAATGAATTTTATTATATTTTATTTAAATGAAAATGTCTTTGTTTAAAAAAAAAGTATAATATTTTACTTTTTTGTACGCAATTATATTTTAAAATTAAACTCCTCCGATCTATGGTCTGCTATTTATTGATGTTTGAAAATAGAATGTACTTAAAATTTAAATTACAAAAAAAAAATAACAAATTCCAAGTTTAAAAATACGGAATTGTAAATTACACAATGCGTACGACTAACGCAACACCTGTGCACGCGACTATTCACGCAAGTTTAAGTTTAAGGGCAGTACTGTTGTCGTTGATATGGCACCGTCGCCTGCGCAGGACGGCATTATGCAATACTACACCATTTCTTATTAATATATTATTATGCGTTTTAATAGAGAATTATGAAATTTTAAACAAACAAATAGTCTATCCATAAGTCAGTGTACTGATGTATAAAAATAAATTGCAAAAAAAAAATAATTTGATGCATTCAAGTATTTTTTTAAGCAAATTAGAATACATTGTATTTTTTTATCACACCCAAATTTTACCAGTAATAAATTCTATAGTTATAATACATGAACCAACAACTATATATTTATAAATTTAGGTACACTTGTAAATTACAGAGATAAAACATTTATAAATATTATAAACAAGAGTGAACTTATGTTTGAAGGAAATCTCTTTCTAACCAACCCAATACAGTAGGAACGCATATAGCTAATAGAAAGGTAAGGTTAGTGCTATATGAACAATATCAATACTAATTAATACATAAGCTACAAATGAACAGTTAAATATAAATATATATTAGAAAATTATATAAATACATAATCATAATACCAATCTATTTATATAATAACTGTTAAAAGAAATTAATATACAACCCATGGATTAAAAATTCAGTTTTTAGATTTTAAGACATAACAATTATATAATGAAAAATGAAAAATAAAAAATACTAATCCAGAGAAAGAAAATATAATTTCAACATTATCTTGTAAAGGTAGGTAGAAGGACTATCTTGTGCGTGGGAAGGGAGTTTGTTCTCTAATTGGGATTAGTCTAAAGTTGTATATACTTTTAGAAAAATACTACAGCTTTTTTTATAAGACGATATTACAGGTTGGTTACACAAAAGGTTATATAGGAACAGTTTTTTTTCCAGATTAGAACTGACGATTTTCAAAGTTTACAACGGTAATATACGACTGAGCCATGATACCTTTAACCTATATAAATACCTTCATAATTAAAGATAATCATTTGATTTGCAAGATTCCTACTCTGATTTACTGCGTCACATAATTATTTAATTAAATTTTGTATTCGTCAATTATTCAGTGTTTATGCTAATTACACTAATGAATTTGATTGAAGAAATTTTGTTGTAATTACAAGTGATCTTTTTGGAAACGAATTATATTTCTTTCTATATATATATACATCAAAAAAGTCTAAACAACACATACTATTCCAAATTATTAACCAATTATTATATCATTTCTTACCAAGTAGGTAATACCTATGTAAACTTTTTTGATCTAAAATGAAAAATAATGTTCAAAATAAAGCCTTAATCCCTTTGTAATAAAATACAGATTGTTTACAATATTGGAGTCCGTCGATATTATTTTCCTTCCACCTTAGTTTAAAAAATAAAAAACCGATTGAATGGAGGCGTGTGCGCGGACGCTTGCTCCTGTGAAATAAATGTAATTTGTGTATTTTAAACTGTATGTGCCCTGAAGGAACCTGAAGTGAGAATTTTTGTGTGCGTATATATACAATTTAAAGAAGAATTGCCGATCACGTAAAATAGAGAAAACTCACGAAGCCGATGTCAGGTTAGTCTTTTTTCAGAACTTTTTTCCTATAAAACGCTGCGGTATTTTAACTTACTATATATATAAATTATTTGATGTTTGTTACTTTCGCTAAAACTCAAAAACAACATGACTGATTTGAATATTTCTTTTTATCTAAAAGTCTAAAAACCCTTAAGTTTAGACGAAAAATCGAAGAACTAAAAATAGGTATTTTAGATGAGAATCTACTAACTAGTTTCAATAGATGGCGTTGTATGTGTTACAATATTTATCGATACATCTAGTTTTAGATATAATAAATAAATTATTAAAATTATTCGCTGTATCCACAGTATATTAAATCAATAATTAATGAAAAAGCATTTTCAACATTTTTTTTTTTATAATTATGTTACTAATTTTTTTTTTTTTTGTAAAATATAGTTAAATAAGTCGCTCGTTTGAGGGCAGCAATAAACTGAGTTATGACTATTTGGTATTGTTATGGCACACGCACGAAAGAAAAAAATATAGTACTACTTTATGTATTTTTTGTATATGTAGGTATTTTTTATTTCGCTTTTTGTGTACGCCTATATATATGTGTTGTGATTTGTGTGTTGTAAGTAATGTAAATAAATTATATTTAATGACAGCATTATTACATTATTAGCAATACCAGAGGGAGACTTTGTACAAAAATTGGGTACCTCTGTGCCATTCGTGTTTTAATTGTGAAGCAGTTATTCGCATGGCTGTGTTTCGATTTGAAGGGTGGGATATGGCAGTGAATTTACAGAGTACAGAGAAATAACACCTGATCCTCAGGATTGCAACGCCTAGGGGAGATTATGGGCGAAACAGTATACTCTGTTTTGTCTATTGTACTGCTCATGTCTATAAGCGACGGTTACCACTTTCCATCAGGTGGGTCGTCAAATTGTTTGCCATTCTAAGTTGCAGAAAAAAAAATCCGCATTAACATGGTATGGATAGATAAAGAAATAAATTAGTATTTTATATTAGCTTTAATAGGAAAATTTGTGATACCATGGATTATATTATATTGATATCATTTTCGTTGGGATTTCTATTTTTTTTTTATAAAAACATTAACCTATGTAACTAAGTGTGTGATAATGTATATATGCCTAAACTGATTATATGGGGAGGGGAAAGAAATGTTAATAATGTGGTCTAACTGACTCATACACCCTATCAGGTCGCCCTCCACGCGATTCCCTCTAAAAACCATCGTGGTTAATTCTAATGGCATTCGTCACGATGGGCTAACTGACCTGCTTTCATCGTCAGCTATCATCCCTCACTAGTGCCCCGCCAGCGTATACCGATAGCGCGAGCGGGGTTACCATTCCATTATCACCCATTAAAAAAAAACTGATTATATACCTAAAATTTGTAAATTTGTTAGCAGAAGGCCCATGACTTCACGACACAGGGAATCTAGCATTCTTAGGAGCAAAATGTGTAATTGTTACATGTCTTTTTGATTTCAATTAATATTATTACATATAATTAAACATATTATTTTAAAAAATATTCATATTAGGTACTTGTTGAAAATATAGCTTTCTAAAGCTAATAGAAATAATATTTACTTATTATAAAGTCTTCCCACTACTCGTATAATATTTACATTGACATAATATCAGAATTTAAAGCATAGCCTATCTGTATGATCAATTCCTACTACATCTGTTTACATGCTCAAATAACAAAATCCTAAATAGCTTCACAAATTTCAGCGTATAATAACAACGTAGTAATATTAAATTTCCACTGAAGTTAACAGCCAATTTCCAGACGTTCGAGCCAGAACAACGTGTGTATTGGATTACCTGATCAACACATTACCATCAATAGTGATCAGTGAACGCTACCGCCAAACCTGCAATGAGAATCTAGTACTATAGTCTAGTACAGTGATTCTCAACCTTTTTTTTGTCACGGCACATATTTAACGATTTCAAAATTTGGCGGCACACAAAGAAAAAGATAAAAATTATTTACTTACTACAACACACTGCATAAATAGTTTATGGCAAAAATTTTAAATATTTGCAAAATTTGGCGGCACACAAAAGTGCCGCGGCACAGTGGTTGAGAATCACTGGTCTAGTAACTTGATGCATGTGTAACTGGAAGCGCTTTAGCGGGTTTAATTTTTGACTAACTTTAATAAATGGAGACCGTTCTCAATTCCATTGTATTTTGAACCGACTATAAAAAGAAGAAAGTTCTCAGTTGAAATGCCGCCTGAAAATCAGCGCTACAAAAGTACATTTCGCTGGAGGTGTGCATATATAGCAACAGAGACGGCCCACCTCATGGAAAGTGGCAACCGTCGCCTATAGACATGAGCAGTACTATGGACATAACAGAGTATACTGTTTCGCCCATAATACGCCCCATGCGTTGCCATTCCTGAGGACTCAGGTGTTATTCCTCTATACCTTGTAAATTCACGCCATATCCCACCCTTCAAACCGAAACATAGCCATCCAAACACAACTGCTTTGTGGTTGAAACAGGAATGGGACAAAGGTACCCAAGCAAACAATTTTTGTACAAAGTCTCCCTCTGGTAAAGGGCAAACTTATGTTCAGCAGTGGACAGTTAAAGTCTGATAATTAATTTATTACTAAAATCCGTTTATTGTTTAAATATATTTTTCCAACAAAAGGGTGCGGAGTTTGATTTTTAGAATTGCCTAATTTGGGATAATTTTCAGAGCAATTGGTAACTTGTTTCAACTTCTTTCCTAATAAAAGCATAGAGCATAAGAGAGTAAGTATTTACTGAATGCGTAAATTCTCCAAACGGTCAAATACATATATTTCCATTAATTCCAATATAAAAATGTAATATTAAATCCATTTCATATTTAACACATCTCGCATAATAACGTCCCTCTGCTAAATGAATAACTTACTGCATTGTTATTATCTACATAACATAACATATATGTACAAAGTGAATTTAATTTATTCACTTCAAGCTTTGCATTCATCAAATGACGTCGAGCAAGTGAGATTAACAATGATCATCTTTTTTTTTATACCACTGTGATGGCAAACAAGCGTACGGCCCACCTGATGGTAAACGGTTACCGTAGCCTATGAACGCCTGCAATACCAGATTTCCAGGTTTCCAGATGGTTTCCAGGAGGGTTACGTGGGGGTCGACCTGAAAGGGACTGGTATTCCACGTTGCTAACAATCCCTTTACTTATCACGTGGGGGAGGGGGTACATGGTGCAGTACTGAGCACGTTGCATAAACGAGGTCCCAAATTCGATTCCCGATGGGGCCAATTTAAGAAACGAACTGACTCGTTTTCTAGGTGTTCTGGGTTATACCTCCACATGTTCTTGGCCTGGTTTCTCGTAACACAAGGTATCCAGGCTTGAGGACTGGACGATTGGTGTAATTATATGGCACTTATTAT